ATCCTGCACAGGGTGATGCGACAGCACGCGTTTGAGGAGAAGGGGGGAACTCTAAACCATCTTTCTCCTTTCCTCATCAATTTTTATCGACAGCGGAATTGTTTGACAGCGGCGGAGCTTGAACATTTTCCGCCATTGTCCATCGACCACCCTGGGAAGTATGTGCGGGAGAACGAGGTCGATACTGATGCAGAGGAGTCACCGACTTCTACCCCATCAAGACGGAGGGACGAAGGGAGACACACCCCTGCAGCGCGAGTGCCGCGGAAGCGGCGATGGAGGGAAGAGTCCGAAGAGGAGCAGCATCAAGAACCCTCTGCTCCCATTCGACCGCGGCCGCTGTGCGAGCCATACAGCCGGCCGAAGCAAAAGGCACGCAGACTGGTGTTACCAGCTGACAGTGCAGACACGGCGACGATTGCGACAGAGATAGGAAGTGCGTCGCCAGAAAGGCGAGAGGAAGCGCGGACGACCCAAGGAACAACGGGCCACGCTGCAACCTCGTCGGGAGAGAGGCCGCCTACGGGCCAAGGACCTCCGGAGTTACCACGTGCGATGCGGACAGATGTTCCGTTTGCGCACAGGCGAACCTCCGCGGACGGACGAGCCTCCGCGGACCGGCGAACACAAGTGGACGTGGATCTACGCTTACGCGTGGGAAGGAGCAGTCCGCCTGTGCACAGGCGCTCGCCTGTGCACAGGTCGCCTGTGCACAGGACACCTCCACACGTGCCGCCTGTGCACAGGCAAGAATCACCCCCGTTCCAACGCAGGAAGGGGAAGGAGCCGGCGGAAGAACCGCCTACGAGACACCGGCCCTCGGGGCCAGACCCTCCGGCGCACCACGCGCCGCAATTTGCGCCTTCGGCGCCAGGGCCTTCGAGCAGAGGAGATACGAGCAGAGAGCGTGCGGAGGCCGCACCGTCGGCGGGAAGTCCGCCGACAGATGCGCCTTCGGCGGTAGGGCCTATAGGCCAAGGAACATTGGGCGTGCGGCCCCCGGCCATGTCGCCTTCGGCGATAGATGTCCGCGGCGCTACGCCTGCGACGGACAAGGCGCCGGCAAATGCGCCTGCGCACGGGCCGGGCACAGCCCCCACGGACCGATCGAGGGAGCAGCAGACGGAGGAGCGGAGTGACTGTCCGCGGGATGAAATCTCGATGCGCGATGCGCAATCAAACCCCGCGCAGCCACCCTCCGCTCAATCGCCTTCGGCGACGGACGACGGCGACAGAGAGAATGCGGTAGGCAATCAACCAGCGAGCGACGGGGATGCCGCTCGGATACATTCGCCTACCGCCTTAGACATTTTGGCGACGAGCAGCGAGGCTGCAGCCGTGCCTTCGCAGGCAGCACACGTCGAGGACGTGCAGCCCCACTCGGGGCAGTCGCCGACACAATCAATGGCGACTGAAATTCTCCACTCGGATGATGACGACGGAGGCTCCACGGAAGAAATGTGAGGAGCAGAAGACACCGAGGAGGAGGAGGAGGAAATTGTTGGAGCGCCGGCGGCGGCGCTCTCTGAGCAGGTGATTCCGTTGCTGCGGTACTTGGATCGCAAGGTCGATAAATACGCCGACCCACTCCAGCCGGGATCTTACATCGAGTTAGTGCGCAGGCGGACTCGCACTAAAGTCCACACCAGCAAGCTATTAGCTAGAGTGGACCAGGAGTTGAGGGACTTGAAGGAGAAGCATGAGTGCTTGTGGGGACAGTACAAGCTTAATCAGAAATTCTACAAGCACTCCGAGAAGATGAAGGATGAGAAACTGGGCGAGCTCACCAAGGAGCAGGTGAAGGTCAAGGAAGCACTCGATTCTGAGCAGGCCCAGAATCGGATTTTGTCAGAGGAGCTCGTGCGACAGACGCGGTTGTTGGAACAATGTCAGCTCGCACGGCAGGCGGATGAAGAATTAATCCGCAGGTTACAGTCAGAGTGTGGCGAATTGAGAGCGCAACGTGCTGAAGCCGAATCGCAATTAGTGATAATTGAAGAGGATCGCAGGAAGGAGGCGGATCGCACGAAGGTGGAGACGGCGAGGCGAGTCGCCCACTGCCTCAAGGGCTACGCCCACTGGGAAGTGAAGGCGCAGGAGAAACTCACACTGCGTGAGTTTGAATTGCGCGCAGCCGGGTTGTTGTCAGGTGACAGTAGGAGTCGGCGGAAGGTAGCGAAGAAGCTCGAGGCCTTTCTGTCGAAGGCACAGGATACCATGTCCGCCCTCGAGGGGGAGGTGTCCGCGGCGTTGCAGCGTTTGGGACTGCGCAGTCGAGCGGAAGAGTGGCAGGGTAGGGAGTTAGTGCGCGGCAGTCGGCCGCGCAGGAGACGTAGTACAGGTTCCGCGGAGTGTAGTGTAGCGTGGTTCCGTGCAGGCGTGTAGCGTAGTACAGTGTAGTGTTAGGTAGGACTTAGAAGGTATAAAATAGTTCCAGGCGTTTTGCCTGGGGTTCTTTCCCATCAGAAGTGCAGATCAGGAACCCATTTCCTTTGCGTGTTTGTGTCCTTGAGTTCTGTCACCACGCACGAGGAGTTACAACTTAGCGTTCCGCATTTTGTAGCTGAAGGCCTTCGGCCGAATGTTCAGAGCTAGTACATTGGTTAGAGACTTGAGTAGTTCGGATCTGCACCTGCGGGTGACTGCCGATGCTCAGAGCCAGTGACTAGTTAGATACTTGAACAGTTTCGCCCCTACACCTTCGAGTGTTTCTTTCTGATTGTACTCCTTGGGATTTTTCCCCTGAATGCCAAAGTGAAGTTTTGCTACTTCGTGTAAGCCTTGGTTGTAAATTCAGGTTACGCTGCAGCAGGTGCCTTGAGGGTAACCCCTGTAGTATTTCTGGGAATGACAAGTGCCTGAGAATTCAAACTCTTCAATAGACTGTTGTTGTGTTACTGGAATGTTTCTCAGTGAGTCCTTCAGTGCGGACCTGTGTTCTCTGCGCGTTTTGTGAGTTGAGAGTGTTGTTCACCGCGTAGGAGTGACTTCGATCCGAAGTAGGCAGTCCAAACCGGGTTTCCTACACTAGCAGCAAGCTAGTGGAAGTGTTGTAAAAGCCGGAGTTGGAAGTCACTGCCCGCAGCTTTGCCGAGTGTGCTCGCGAGAGACTTTCCCCCCTGAAATCTTGAGTAGAGGTCCTAACGGATCTCTGAGTTGTGTTTCTGTAGTTTCAGGTGTGTGTGTGTGTGTGTGTGTTACGCTGCACTGTGCGACCTCCGAGTGCGCTCCGAGTGGACACTTGCAGTATTTCTGGGAGTGACAGTCGCCTGAGAATTCAAACTCCTCAATAGTCTGTTAAAACGTGACACTTTGTACCCTGTGTGTTCCTCTGTCCCTGTGGGTTCGACCTTTCTACCACTATATTGCAGTTTTAGCCTTTAGTGGGTTATTACAACTAGTTCACAAAAACCTTTACTGCTCTGACTTAGGACACACGTGAATGTGAAAGAACGTTGTCTCAAACATCGAGAAGATTAGAGCATAAATCAGGACTCTATGTGCAGGTCATTTAGTATCCCAAGTGGGGTATGTAGGGACGTTAGGTACACCAACATCTCAGTGAGCAAGTTGAGTAGGTAGACACGTATTCTCCTATTTCTCCCCTACTTTTCCTCCCCTCACAAAGGGGAGGAGAGAAAAAATACAGAGTACAAGTTCGCTGCGGGGAAGGGAGGCCGCGAGGGAAGAGCCCGATGGTCGAGCGGGAGCTGGGCGAGCTACAGCGGGAGGGCCCTCCCTGGTCGAAGCGGGAGGTCGGGCTGCGGGCCAGGGACCGCCTGGCATCGGGCCCGGGCGGGCAGAAAGCCCTCTCGGGCAGACCTCGCGTACCCTCGAAAGTGAGGAGCCCTTAGAGGCTCGCCAGCATAGCAGCAACAGCATCCCATCGTCAATTACTACTCTACTATCACTACTACTGCACGAGTTGTAGATGTGTGACTGACTATGTCTCCACCGCAATCGCTCGACTGCTCGAGAGGCCGTGACGACCGGATTATCTTTCTGGATGATTACCAAATCTCCGCTTACAAGACTGAGGACCTTCAAGGCAGAAGAGTTGATTTCTGCCTGCAATGCAAACGCGAGTATATGCGTTTCTGGGTCGAAAAGTTGACAGGGAATTTTTTTTCGTTCTCTCACCTGTGGCTGCTGCTGCTAGTTATTCGATAACTCAGTTTTGTTAATGGGACGCTCGGCAGAAGTTATCTTCTTTTGTGGGGCCGAAAAGTAATCCTACCCGTCTATGCACGCACTCGAAACATATACAATTCTGTCAGATTTAATGATAAATCATCTTGGCAAATTGATCCGAACGCTTAAAAATTCAAATCGTGAATGATGGATTGGAACTACTGCAGTGGTATTTGATTTTTTTTTAAATCTTTCGCTTAGATTAACACGAGGTGGAAGGACCATACGTCCACCTTCAGTCACTAGTTTCGAGAAAAAGCTCACCTTCGACGGGTACAGATTTTGGTGGATAATTCTGGAATAATGCTAAAGATAGACAAGTGATATGTATTTTTTTCACGACATGTAATTATCGTCTTTTTTTACATTTCCTTGAAGCTAACTTTATAAATTTCTTGAATTGTCAACTTTTAGTAGTCACTCATTCCTACATTGATATACAGATGACGTCACTCGTCTGAGCTGAACGTTTCACTAATGTATCAGATTAAGACCATCAACAAACTCATATCTCTAAATTTAGATTACAGTTGTTTGCACATATTTACAGAGCAAACTTTTTCACTAAGAACCATATGTTCTGTCTCGGGGTTGGAGTATAGTATCGTCAGCACGTCAGCAGGGAACGAGAGATTTGTCGAGAACATTTCCAAACATTCTAAGAGTTTCAAAATCAATTATCAGAGCAGATTCTTTCGATAGCGGCAAACATAATCGAGTGGTTTTCAGGAAACAGCGCTATTGATTCGAGATCCTAAGCCATACATCCCAGTTGACGAGCCACTCGAGACCGGCAGTACAGAACACGTTCAGATTTCTTTGGACCCTACAATCACTGCCCAGAAAAGGTTCCTGTTTTCACTCCTCTCGCGCACATGTAAATACAAAGCCCTGCGCCTCCTAATTACAGTTAGCCAAAGATAAGCCGCTACGGCCTTTCCCGGCCATACTTTACTCGAGATAATGTGGACTGAGTCGGTTTCGAGTCAAGCCGCCTTGACGACGTTCGATCCATACAAATCGGACTCTGCAATTCGCATCCCATGTCCTGTAATCAGCGGGGTGTACTTGGAACAGAAGCGGAGGACATGATTACATACTTGTTGCAGCTCACGATTACGCAGAAATCATTCGACAAATCGCAACCTCCGAGTTAGCCATCGCAAATCCGAGAAAATGCGTCACAAGAAATGATAGACGCAAAGGCAGGACGGTCTCGTCTTGGGCAGGAAGCGCGAAATCCCGGGTGACGGTGACGACGGTATACGTAAACCTTCAGCCCGGAGAGCATACAGCCGGGGTTGATCTAGCCAGAAGCCTTCTTAATGCGTATGGTTGATGGCCTTAGTTTTCATTAACTTCTCTTGGTTGTTTGATTGACTCAATCAAATCGTCAATAGCCTTGTCGGAAGATCCCCCCCTTGACACAGCTGCCGCAGCTTTCCGGTCGAAACTGGCGGCATTGAACGCTAAGGCTTTTCCCAGTTTTTCAGGCGAAAATAATTTAAATGCGTTTTCGAATTCTAGTTGGTCCACTACTAACGCCGTGTTGTCAGCTTTCCGGTCGAAACTGGCGGCATTGAACGCTAAGGCTTTTCCCAGTTTTTCAGGCGAAAATAATTTAAATGCGTTTTCGAATTCTAGTTGGTCCACTACTAACGCCGTGTTGTCAACATCTCTGATTCCGATGCCGGCTTTGAGAACTTGTTGTACGTATCTGCAAATTAAACATCGAGAATTACTTTGAAATGTCAAAGCAGTTTCTGTTCGGTAATTTTTTCTACAATAAAAAAATAGGGTTTGACTTTTGGATATTTAAAACAGAGAAGTACTATACACTGAGCTTCTGCTATTCAACGTGAGAGTAGGAATCATTAAAATCAAGGTCAGCGACGTAAGTCCCAAGCGCGCGCTGTACCTGCAATTGAAGTGCTGATCGTACCCTTGAGGCCAGCCTATTATCGGCACACCACATGTCATGCTCTCGATCACGGACTGCCACCCGCAGTGCGACACAAACCCGACGACGGACGGGTGAGCCAGCACCTGGAGCTGTCCGACCCATCCCGTCACGACGAGGCCGCGACCACATGTTCGAGTCAGAAAGCCTTCGGGGAGAACGTCGTCCGGAATATTGAAGTTGCCGCGCCCCTTCGACAGAACCCAGAGGAAGGTCTGTTGGCTAGCATCCAAAGCTCGAGCCAAATGTCCAATTTGCTCCTTCTCCAATACAACTTGACTCCCCAAACACACGTAGAGAACTGATTTGGTGGGCTGTTTCTCGAGCCACTCCATACACTCCGCATGAGAATCATCCGTATTACTAACGTATGACTCGTTTCTGAAGCTTCTTAGATCGGAGATCGGCCCAATAGGAAACACCCGCGTCGCCTGCACTGGCCATTTCGTCACACACCATTCAATAAAGCAGAAAAAAGAAGATTCGTAAGATGCTTGAGAACAGGAGACATTCCGAAACACCAGTCAACGACCTTCAGCGACTGACAAACTCCGGCCCCAATCGAATGCACAGTGCTGTGCACTGCACTGGCGGCCACCACCGGCAGCGTCTGAACCTAAGACTCCGAAGGCGAACGCAAGATCGAGACCATAAAACAACAAATTTAAGCCTGGATGAATGTCAGTATCGGCAGGTTGGCGTTCTCCCTGTGGGCTCTCGAGAACGCCATCCTGCCGTTCTGGAGAGCCCACAGGGAGGAGCATGAAACAAGCACTGTTCCTGCAGATCCTGTCGGGTGGCTAGCAGACCCCAAATCACAGGCGCAATGCACTCCAATTTATACTGACGTTATGGAAAGCTCAAGAGTTTTGAACGTAGACACGACTGGTTATTGATGCATACATCGGGGTATGTGAGCTTGAGTATTTCACCTTTTGACGCCTGCTCCCGGGGGAGCCATTTCGAATTGCCTCGACAGCTTTACTCTCCAGTTCGCTGAAAGAATTCATCACAACGCCATCTGCAGTGCAAATGTTTCTGCCAATCTCAATGAGAAAGTCGAACCAGGCACTCGATCGACTGACCCCTGGTAGATCACTCGCTGACGACACAAACTCAAGACCCGGCTTGCCGTGGAAGATTTCGTACCAGTCTCGCTGCCAGTCGGGGCCATCTGGTATCTGCCTCAGATCGTCTTCAAATTCGTGATATACCTGCATGAGTCTTGTAGTCACAGCTGCGTAACTGACATACGCATACCTCGGAATGTCGAGCTGCTCTGCATACTCCTGTCGTTGAAGATCCGACATAAAATGTCAAGTCCGGAAACAACGCTCACGTTCACAACACGGACGCCGCAGAGGCACACGTATCGAAGCCAAATGTACGGGAGTCAGACAGCTTTTGGCTGCAATTCTGGCAACTTGTGGAAAAGAAATTCTAAACAATAGCGGTCATTCCAAGGCGCCGTAGCGCGTATTCATACCTTCGACCACGTGAAGAATCTGTCGGCAAGCATGCAAGTGGGATAAGGCGACCCGGCCTTCTTTTTCCCAAGAAGCCTCTGCTGCAGGGGCCGGCAACTCTCCTCCATGCATTTGGCCACATTGAGGGGACTCCAGGCGCCCGGAAGTTTGGGATCGATCTTTGGGTCCTCGACAACTTCGACGGTTAGCCCGAGCTTCAGGAGTCCTTCGGGGGTGTAAATTTTGTTCAATGACTCCGCATGCTTACTGATGGTCACGATAGTAATCTTCAATCCTCTCGCTGAGAGTTTCTCTGCGAGTCTGATGGCCGAGGCAAAATGCGCCTGCATAATCATCGGTATGAAGAGCAGATGGTGTGAATTTCCAGTCCCATTCTCCTCCCTGTCCGGGCTACCGACAATGGTCTTCATGTTTAACAAGCGCCAGATGCGCAGAGCTCGAAAAATTCTTTAGGTCTTAATTCGACAACTGAGATTCTCAATGCCAATCGATACATGCAGAACCCTGCAAGTGTCCGGGTTTTCTTCGAACCGGAAGTTATCACAGGTCTCGTCATTCGTGCACGTGTCGCCTCAGCATGGCCAACGGTTTTGAAGTGGGGTACACGCGTTGAATTTTAAAGTTTTTTGTCGCAGTATCGTATGATTGCATACCTTATTTTCTTGCGATAAAATATCACTTCAAGACAAAAACTGCTTTCGTGAATTTACTACACTTCAGTTCTTCATTCTCTTCATACCTGGCACACAAGCACTCGTCACTCTTGGTAAGTGACGAGTTATTTATGAATAGCCCATAGTGCAAAATGTTTTTACAGTTGACTCCCGCTTATTTTGTCCAAAAAGTAGGGTTCAAGATTTATTCAGTTCAACATGTCAGATTGTAATTCGGCTAAAGTTTTGTAGATTCCTGACTTTTCAAACCAATTCTTGATTGACCCGTTTTCATATGGCATTAAAAGTTTCTACTTCGGTAGTAGGAAAAAACAAGTCGATAATGATTGGCCTAGGGTTTGTCTGAACCTTTGAGTATAGGATTTCTCGCCTTGTTGTCCCTCTGAGCGCCTTGTGATCGATGCGTTAAGGCCAGTACCAAGATGCGTTAAAGTCCACGTCACATATTGAGAAACCTAATGCAATACTTTTAGCTTTGCGGTTAATACAGATATAAGCATGTGCTCAAACGTAATGAAACAACCAATAAGATTGAAAAGTCTTCTTTTCAGTCTCATCGGATATTAAGACAGATCTTTATAGCAGTTGCTCACGCTTGTCTCACACATTTCTTCACAAACATTAAACTTGTTAGAGTATTTTTATTGTAAGCATAGTTGTTGCTTGCTTCTCTATTGTATCCCATTGTTGAGGTTCATTTAGAGATTCCTATTTGATTTTTTAAGATTGCATTTGATTTAAAAAAATTAGAAAGTGTTTCGTCTAAGTAAACACAATTCTACGAAGTTCAAGATGACTACTCAGGCGGGAGAGTACTGTACACTACCCTCTACAACCTTGTAATAATATTCTAATCATGCCTTAGCTTTTGCATCATTAAAATTGATGGGAGACAACTTCATTCACCAATTTAATAATTTTAAAAAATTTCATAATTATGTTCTCATTAGATTTTCCAACACATTCACACAACACAAATATTATTATGTGGACATTAACCTGCAATATATCTACTTCAACTAATTATTTTTGCATAATTATTAAATTCACAATCCATTTCAATTGTGTGAAAAATAAATGTATGAAATAAAATCATTATAATGTTGGAAAATAAATATATCTGAATTTTTTGAATAATCGTCACAATTCACAAAAAAAAAGTAAAGCAAGAGCTATTGACAAATCACAAATTACATTTTGTCCATCTTTTTTATATATTCATCCAATAATATGTAATCATAAGATTGTAGTTCTTTGAAAAAAAGCTTCAAACTACCTGTTTTTCTAGTCATGAGACCTGAAAAATGTTATCCTCCTCACATCATAAATACAATCACTCATTTCATCTTCCCCCACACGGAGCTCTAGACAACCTGTCTTCCACCTTGTAGTACATTATCATGTCATCCTTCAAGTTTTATCAACATAGAGTTCACTTTGCAATACAAAATTAGTCCCTCAAAACTTAATCAAGATCAGTCAGCCACTCAAAATTTGACAGCAACTTGTGTGCATGTGGTTTTTATTTGTTTTTTTTGAAGTAGCAACTTCTTTCATCACATGATTTGATCAATAGATTCCGCACGCGAAGTCAATTACCTGGAATCTGCGATGTACAGTACTCAAGCATGTGAATGTTTTCTGACAACTTAGTGGCATAGGCATTGTCAGCTTGGCTGACAGAACATGTTGTGCTTTCAATGTCGGTAGAGTAGTCTACATAACTCGTGGGTGCAGAACAAACTGATCAGCTTTTCGGTACTTTGCTAAATACAATGTAAAAATACAATGAATAAATATGATGAAACTTTGTTCACATCGTAATATTCATCGATTGCTAGGTAGAAGAGAAAAAGTAGACATGCGGCTTTTTTTTCTCAATTACTTTCTTTATTTTTGGGGGGGTAAAATCGAAAGAAGAGAAGTCTCTTGCAGCACCACAAAAATCGAGAAAATTATGGGACCTCTACAGGTTTCATTTTACCTTAACAAGACCCATCGAAGGCCCTAACCCCATCCTCAATGATGTTCCAATACTATCTAGGGTTATTTCGAGTAGAACATGAAATCATGGCAAGACCATATCCCGAGTAATTAAGACTCATGGTGCCCGTCGTTTTCTTATATTCATGGTTTTTTCGTGGCTAGGCTAAAATACTCTGTCCCGACAGTGGCGGACGCTCGTCACTAAGGGCTACCCACTTTCGGGGGAACGCGAGCTGTGCCCGGGAGGGCTTTCTGCCCGCCCGGGCCCGATGCCAGGGGGCCCGCAGCCCGACCTCCCGCTTCGACCAGGGAGGGCCGCCCCGCTCCCGCTCGACCATCGGGCTCCTCCCTCGCGGCCTCCCTTCCCCGCAGGGAACTTGTGCTCCCGCTCGACGGTCCCGCTCCCGCTTTCCCACTACGGCGCTCCGAAACAGTCTGCAACCTTCTGCGTATGCATTCGCGTCACACGATGCCATAATGTGCTCTCGGAAGAGCTACTTAAACACAAAAGGCGTCGACTTGAGGCATGATCGGAACTTTTGTGATAAGAAAGTATCTAACTTGCGATTTTAAGCAATCATACATGGAGGAGCTGATCCAGTGGGTTATTTGGAACTTATGGCTGAATGAGCTCGTTGTCTTGTCCACATGAAAGCGAAGAGGATCTTTGGTTCTGACTCGCAGCAACCTCAACGGTGCCCAAAATCAGATGAGCGAAACATGTCATGTAAAAGGTAAGTGCTCTACTGCCAGGAGATCTAGAAAAGGGTTTGATAGTGAAAGAGCACCACGCACGGCAATGTTGCCCGACAGTTTCAAGGGCGGACCTCTAACATGGCAGTGTTCGCTGTTGTACAGAGCCAACAAAGGAACACAAAGACAGCGATCGAAGAGGGCGTCCGAATAAACTAACGCGGTGGTCCCTGGCCCGCAGCCCGGGCCAGGGACCGCCGGCATCGGGCACGGGCGGGCAGAAAGCCCTCCCGGGCAGGCCTGGCGTTACCCCGAAAGTGGGGAGCCTTTAGTGACGAGGGTGGCGGACACTCCCCACTCTATAGAGCACATCAGTAGGTTATAAGAACATGGCTTACCGTGTCCGTGGAATGTGGTCACATCCGTCCGGTAAAATGAAACCGGTTGGTCCCTTCAAGTACCATCAAGTAATTTTCTCCATAAAAATCAACATGTTCCCCTCACTCTTTAGCAATTACTATTCTCACAGGCCTCTATGAGCAAACAAATTATGTGACAACAATGCTATAGCAATAAAATACTAAGAATGAGCTTTAGTCAATTAAATCCCAAATATAATTCTACTTTTAATGCATTACGTGGGAGTGCTATACAATTTTCAGTGATACAAGAACAACAAATCAAGGTCTTAGGTGGATGCAGGACTGACAACTCCATACTTTGTTTCCAACATGAACTGAAAAGAGTGTCAGTCCAATCAAGCAAGGATTCATTTTGGGATCGAGGATGAAGAATTGTTCGGTGACGAAATATGCTTTTGCCAAACCCATCAGAAAAAACCAGAGCAACAATCTTGAGTTTTGCTTTCGTTGAACGCCCATAGGGCATAAGGGCAGGCTGGCGCTCGGACCGCGAAAGATCGATTTTTTTTCTTCGGCTTTTTGCTACCACTTCCGAAAAGAGCTTGCGTCCTTTCTTAGCGCCTCTCCTCGTGTCCCAGGATTGAACTAATGAAGATTTGGTCAGTGCATTTACTTTGGATTCAGTGAAAAGAGGTTATGCTGTAGCGATCGGAAGATATATAACATTTCTTCCCAAAAGTCTTCTCAGAAGTGAAAATGTATTTTGCAGTCTGGAGTATATTACATTTAAATGGAGAAATTCTGCATTTTGAACGTGAAACCAGTAACAAGTTTATACCCTTTCATCCAGTCATAACACAATGTGAAACTAGTAATGTTCAACATTGTGAATATTTATTTCCATGTTCAAGAAGTTGGCCATGAATGAATCAAAATCAGTACTTTTTGTTTCTCAAGCGTTTGCAAATGGTGGCATTTATTCACACAACAGTTTTGAAAATTTCGTCGCCAACCTTGCATGTTCGCATATTTTATAGGCCGCAGAACTGCTCAAACTCTGTAATTAATCCACTTTCTCAAGCCCTGTAAATCATATTAGCTGTACGACAGCCACGCCCTCAGCCCTGCTCTACGTGATTGACGCGACTTCATGGAGAATATGGTAGTTCAACATGGCGCTAAGCCAAGTCGAGAGTTCGAGAGAGGCAATTATATTCAATAGAGCACGGGTTCGAATAAAATGCGATTGACAAATTGCATTTTGCGGGCCATATCGTGTAACTCGAATGCGGGCCAAGCGATGCCATCTCTTTCAGACACCTCCGAAGTAAGGAGTAAGTCTGCCGAGTAAGAGTACATAGTTGCTCTGACAAAATCGAAGTAGAAGTGCCTGGCGGCTTTGGGAAGGACTCCGTCAGTCTCAGAAGGGCACAAAACCTCCTTCACAAGCTGCCTCATTTGGTCGTCCACCAGGTTACGAAACGATTCAAGGACCTGCGAGTGCGTCGCACCATCTCGTGTGGATATGGACACAAGGTTCTGTGTGTTCTCGAGTTTTTCTTTCTGCAGAGACAACACGAAGGTGATGGACTCGCAGTGGCATCTGAGCTAGGAATGGAATGGAATGGATGAGAGAATTCCGTGGGCGATGACAGGAGATGGAACAGCTGTGACGGGAGAATATGGAAAGCTGTGTGTACCTGGAAAGTTGCCATGTCGTTAGTATGTCTCGTGATCGTATTCATTAATTTGGTCAGTCTCTTCGTGTGTGGACTCTGGCTCATCTCCTCAGTGATGTTCTCCCCGAGGAAGTACTGAACAACCGATGCCACCGCCTCCATCGATATTGAAACTCCTGCAACCTCCAAGTACTCCTCCAGCGAGGGTTGAATATTCGGATCTTTCCATTCGGCTTGTTTCAAATGGCACTCCACGAGCCTGAACCACTGGTCATGGGCGAAAAGTCACGTGATATCGATAAGAATCAACTTAATGGGTGTGAATCGCTTAATGTTCCCGAGTTTCATTCAATCACAATGTCAACACGATTTAGCCCACGTAGAGCTGGAAACCACCAGATTTTCTGCTATTCTGGCATCCGTTGCCACATGTATGGGCATCTGAGTGCGTTCTGGGATTCAACAACGAAAAGACAGAAGCATAGATGTCTCATCTGGTTGTTGGATGGGACAAGCTATCGATAGAGCTAAATTGATCATGTACCTGTACATTCTCTTCAAGGCTTGATACAGTCCCACGAGACCAGATTTCTAGTGCTCTAAAACTCACACCAGTCTTTTGTATGGGTCAGCAAAGATGATAAACAGTCCGATCTGTGAGGGCACTTACGGCGTCGTAAACTGCTTGACTGATGTCCCGACCTTGCAGGAAGCTGCCGTCCACAATTACATCACTGAGAATACTGTACATGGACTCAAATAATAGCTGTGCATTGCTGCCCGCTCCGTCCATCAGCTTCGGATCCCTCCTGGCACATTCAAGTTCACACTCAGAGATTACAGCTCAGATGAGGGAAAAAAGTACGACCATATAGCATCCATCCGTATGCATACCATGTCAGTGAAAACATTGCCAGGAAACTAGAGCACTTAGTCGTCGCTCGTCTCTCAGAAGGCCACCGAGCAAGACAGCTATAACACTTACGATCTGCAAGCTGCAACAAACTGGGCCTTAGCGGCGAGGGACTCTTCTGTCGAATCGAAAAAGTCGTCGAGTAGAACGGTGAGGAGGCACAGCTGCGTAAATGCTCTTCTGGCCAGACTAAGTTGCGGAGCCGGAAGACAACCAGCTCCAGCGAAAAAGCAGATAATCAAGGTCTTGTCGTCTGCACAACGTTCGCTTTTGAACACGAGTTCTCGATTCCATCTGCAATGTGCAATATTGAGACGTTCACAGAGAAGCCAATGCCAGCAATCGTACGAAGTGAGGTCAATGCCGAGAAACCATAGATACATCACCGGCGGTCTAGGAACAGCTCCATAGCAAAAGCAATACCACTTAAATAAAACGCATTTGTGTTTTCTAATAGTTATGATTTTAGTCATACCTCAGCAGACCCTTCAGTTCTTCCTGGTGTTTCTTCTGGCACATGTTGAAGTCAGCTTTGGCTAACTTCAGAAAGGTGGTGTTATTTATTTTAGGCAATCTGACACATAATGCACAGACGTAATACTTTGTCAGCAATCGATAGTTGTGGTTTGCTTGATAGGACGGCGCACTCTGCGCTCGATCTGATCCCAACGATGGATGATACTGGCAGCGTTGGCATCCGAAACTCTCGAGGCAGACTGCTGAGGTGAGGACCCGGAGACACTCAACGACGTAGATCGGAAGCATACGGAGACGAACCTATAGAGGACCTTGCCAATCCATACGTCGTCCGTTCCGTAATTATCGATATACGCTCTGTGTTCCATACGAGGCATTGTTTGCGACCAAGGATTCGCAAGCGCAGTGGCAACCTGCAAGATCCATCCCATCTCATCATCATCAGCCACTGGCTCGGAGAAGCGTGCACGTCGAAGACCAGTCAGTCTGAACGCACAGTTCTGAGAGAGGGAAGAGTCAGAGCCCGAGAATGGGCGAAAATGTTAGAGCGCAATTGCAGGGGAGCCGCAGAGGATGCCATTCGGTCGTCAATTCAGAAGAGGAAGGAATTCCGAGATGTACTGCTTACCTCTGAAGCCAAGGTCTTGGATATGACGTACTTATCCCTCAAGTCGTTCTTCTTGAACCTGTCCAGAAGAAGCTTCCTTGTCCATGCAAGCCCCTCGATCAGGTCCGCCTCCTCCGGGAAGCCGGTTTCACAGGCTCTGAAGAAGCTGAAAAGGTTGGTCGTACCTAAGCTCAACTCGCCTGGCAAACAGCACCACCCTCCCTCTGGAGTTCTATACCACTCGAAACTGTCGGCTGCAAATCAGTCAAGTCACGCATGCTGGTCAGAATCGAAACACCCATGTCATCCACTCCTCTCCAAATTTCGATCTCTGCGTCTCCCGACAACGAAGCCGACCATTGTTCCGCTTGCAGCCTACAATTTTCTTCGTCACCGGAGGACAGGATCTTACTCGAGTTCACGTCGAAGCCATGCAGACGCAGCAGGCGAAAGGCCATGGCCGTGTCATCCATGTCAGTGTAAGCGCCTTTAGCTGCCATCCACCCTACACGTCCATTCTCCTGGCTGAATTGACTGTCGATGTCCACACGGAGATCAATTTCATTAAGAGAGATGGAAACTCCGAGGCCACTGCGTCCACGAATGTGGCGGACATGTGATAGAATCTGTCACATACCCAGCTTGAATATAGAATATGGTCGGGTCTAGCGTACGACTATGTACGACATATGGCAGGATTTAAGTCTACGAATTCACTTCCGGGACAAGTAAAGACGAAAAAATACTTGTAAACGAATTGCATGCAGGCGTCGATTTCAGATTCGAAGTATCGGGCGAGTCCGAGGCGCTGAAGTCTATCGACCATCCAACATGGCTCAAAAATGTCGACGGGATAAGCCGTCGGAGCTGCACCACCAACACAATACTTCGCTTGTAAGATCTGCATGGTCATAACATAACGTGGACGCAGCACTGCGTAGAAAGCCAGACGGCGGGTCGAGAGGATCAGCGTGAAGCACCTGTATCGTTGTTTTTCGCCAATACCGCTGTCAGAAAGTCAAGGCATCTCTTATTTCCAGTGCGCAGGTAAGCACACGCAGTGGATGCAACGGATCCCAAGAAGCTTCCGTTTTCCGACTGCAGGTTTTGGATCTGTTCCCAGTCGACGATGTCTCGAACTCCCTCTAAAGAGAATAATATCGTTGTTTTGATTTTGTGCACGACATCGAGGGGAAGTCTGCACATTTTCCACTTTGTCGACATTTTTAGCGACGATACTCGACCTTCACTGGGTAAGGTTTTAAGAATCTCCCGTACTGAATCAGAGAAATCGATCAATCATATTCCCCTATAGATAGGACTTGGATTTCCGAAGAAAGTAAGCAAAGGTGATGGCGACTTGCATGAATGTCTGTGTATCAGCAGGCTTATGCGTGTTCCTTTTCTTATAAGCTGCAGTACATAAAGCTCTGTCTTCTTTAAAAATATATGAAATCGTCGTACTTACTTCTGGAGTTTCTTCGCCTTTGTTGCTCTCATTTGCTCGATGAATTCTAGATGGTAAGGAAGGTCCAGATCCAGCTGCTTTGCATCGTCTATAAGTGCGGGAAAGACAAGCTCGAAACCACAAGTCCTTTCTGGATCATCTTCCATTTGGTCCATGTTCTTCCGCAGAAAGTTTTCACCTTCACAATGACATGTTTCTCAGTAATCAGCTGCTTCATAGACAGTGGGCATGTTTATAATAACCGAGGTACCTTGTCAAAGTAGTTGCGAGGATGATCCGGGCATGGCAGGTATATCAAATGGTGACATTTATCATTTATCTGAATAGAAGGATTGTGTACACGTACCTCTTGTAATCGAGTCAGGGGCAATGTTCCACTTCTTTAGTGCGATGAGGCAGGCTAATGTGTTGAGTACATTGTTGGAGACTCTGAAAAAGTCTGGAAGTCCCCAAGACCCATCCTCGAACTGGTTTTCTACTATCCACTGCAGGCTCTTTGGAAACTGAGGGCCTTCGCTACCGTCAACAGCTGGTATAAGACAAATCCATGCCGTGTCATACGGTGAAGGGCTTTCCTCTCCCCAATCCAAGGTTCGAAACATCTCTCGAATCTCTTCAATCCACGATTCCATATCTTTCTGCATTGCAACAGAGGTTTGGGATGGTAGTTCTTTCTCCAGCGTTGCCAACCCCTTGGTCTCATCTGCACACACAAATCTAAATCAGACCCCTGAGACTCTCGTCGGAAAGTTTTGAAAGCGTCAAAGGAGATCACGTAGAGGTATCGGGCTTCATAAGTCTTCATTTTGAACACGTGAAGAATATACATTTGATTCAAGACTTTTAAAAGAACATGTAGAAATATATTGGAAACTTTGCACAGGTGCAGGTAGGCAACTGACAAGTGGAATCATCAGTCCCATATGCTCGAAGGTGGCTCGACTTCGAAGCTCTGAAAGAAGAGGCATTCCGTTCAAAGCCCAAAAACCTCTCTGAAAATCCTCGTATCTCTTTGTCTGAAACAACATCAACAGACAAGGTAACAGTTCACTGCTCGTTAGATCGAACCAGCATCTAACAACATTAAATCAACTCGTGCATCAAGGACCCCCAGTGCATGTAATTTGCTCTCACTCTCACAGAGCTACTTGTAGTCAAATAACATAGACTTAAAGAATGAAGAAAATGTGCTTGTAATATGATACGGTTAGCCTGGATAAATAATAAGCTGTGTTTTTTTTAAAGGAGCGAATAAAGATAATTCTAGAATATCTTATTAAAGAACCAATTGCAAATCCGAATCCCCCTGGTCTTCCTTTCCACGTGAAAGTGGCCTCTCATGACTCCTGAATGGAGCATTCATCTGAATCTTTCATGTGATGCCCATCACTCATGATCATCAGACTTAGACAATCTAAGTATGAAGAAAGTGCCAGGCTTGTTCTTTACTTGGGGCCACGGCTGCGGTAAGCTGGTGTTTGGAGAATGGCACATGAACCCCGGGCGTCCAAGTTGGAAGAAGGTGGGACGAACAACTTCTTTTCGCTTGCATGCCATCCCTGATATTCGTTCTATTGAAAGCTGGTGCACTCCACAAGGCAGTCGAGCTGGCCATCTCGTTCTCGCCTGGTCACCTAGATAAGGGCTCGAAATTCCAGAAAGGAGAACGCACTGGTCCTCTCGACTCAAACGAAAAGTGTAATCACATTCGGGAGAAGTCGGAGACACTTGCAAGCGCTGATGGAGATGAACTTGATGTATGCACACTTTGTGATCAAACTATGCGCCGAGGGACTCCGTGAGAGAATGAATGAATCGGTTTGAGAAGTACGATTCGAAGTGTGAATTTATAATTCTTAGAGAACTCGGTGACTGGGGAAGAGTCAACAGTTACTTGGTGGAGATTGGACCACATGAGTGGATCAGGTAGAAAATGCGAGGTGACAATTTTCATTATTTACTGACTCCGATTATTTTCAAACCTCAAGTATTGGATGACTCTAAAATCCCACGAGTCCTGTGATGAAGATTTGACTCAGTCGTACTCATTTCTCGATTATTTTCAAACCTCAAGTATTGGATGAGTCTAAAATCCCACGAGTCCTGTGATCAAGATTTGACTCCGGCGTACTCATTTCTCATTTATGACTGTGTACTGCTTTTATGATATTTTAGTAAAATTTTTGAATATGTAACTTTGGATTATTTTCTCGTTATTTTCTCGAGGAGTATTCCTCCCTTCGTCCCTCCGCCTTGACGGAGTAGAAGTCGGGGACTCCTCTGCATCAGTGTCGACCTCATTCTCCCGCACATACCTCCCGGGATGGTCGACGGACAACGGCGGAAAACGCGCAAGCTCCGCCGCTGTCAAACAATTCCGCTGTCGATAAAAATTGATGAGGAAAGGAGAGAGATGGTTTAGAGTTCCCCCCTTCTCCTCAAAAGCGTGCTGTCGCATCACCCGGTGCAGGATGCTCGCCCAGTGAATTGGAGTTCCCTCGATGATGCACTCCACAAAAGAGACCTGCCACAATGTGATGTAGCAGGCGCGGTGTGGCTGCAGCAATTGCAGCAGCGCCGCCGCTAAAGTTCGGCGGAAGCGATCTTTGTAGTCGCGGGTCTTGTACCCATTCTTGGTAGACCTCTCCCGCTTGAACAATTCCACAAATTGCGCCTCGTCTTACTTCGACACCTTGACGCTCTCACTATCAAAGAGAAGGTGCCCTTCGATGCCGGCACACCTCCCCAATGCCTGCGTCCAATCTTGGACGGTCCACCGATCGACGTGCGGACGCAATCCGCGCGAAGGTGGTCGCTGTGGCTCCAGCCACTCGCGCACCATATCCACACAGATGTAAGTCCATCCCCACAGCAAGAAATCGAGCTTTCTTGCAATCAGCCGTTCTTCGTAGGCACGCAACCCGTTCTGTGGAAGCCGGAGCGGCAGCATCCGCAATCTGTTCAGCTTCGACATTGCGTTCTTGAAATTAGCTTGCTCGCTAGTTCTCTCTCTGCTCCGCTCGATCTCCTTGCTCCCTCTGCAAACTCTAATCTCACTCAATTCCAAATCGCGCGCACCCAATTCTCTCTCAATCAACAAGTAATCTTCCGCGCGGCGATGTCTGGAATGCTTAGCAGCTAGCAGGTGGACTCGCGCAGCTCGCACTAGAAAATGAAATCGCGAATTCAAGAATGGGGCGCCCTCCGTCTCCCGGTCGAAGGTCATGGTCGGCTCTTGGTCGTGAGGGTCGAATCACTTGATAGCCGCGCCGGCTCTACGCTAAAACGGTCTCCGCTCTCACGCGCGGCTTCACGCTCCGCCGACGCCGATTTAACTCACACGCTCGAATTGGCAAATTTTAACTCCGCGAGCGTACTACGCCGCGGACCTGGATGCACAGCGCCGAAGGCGGATTTCTTGCCTTGCGCGCTACACTCGTTCGTACCGCTCCTCGGCCAATCCCCCTCCTTCGAAGGTGATCGTCCGCGCATCGGACAAAAGTTGAACTTCCTTTGGCGTAGGCGGAATCCCCGGCGGAATCTCCGCCAGCGCGGAACTTCACCCGCCTGTGCGTAGGCGCTCGCCTGCGCGTAGGCGAATTCCGTCCGCGCTGCTGGCGCGGAAGGCGTTGACCGCGGTCAACAGGCTCCGTCCAGTCTGTCCATTTCTTGTCTCTCCGTCGGCGCTCTCGCCGCCGTAACTCCGTCCGACCGAAGGCAACTCCATCCGTTCCGTCTGTACAGTCCGTACGGTCCGTACGGATTTACTACTCCGGCGGTTCCTCGCCCGTTCGCGCTGCTACGCTGGCGCGGAAGGCGCCGTACAATTTCTAACCCCGAAGGCGCATTTCTAGGGCCGAAGGCGGATTTCCCGCCGACGCCGAAGCGCCTGTGCGTAGACGACCGCATGTGCGTAGGCGAACTTCGCTCGTCCGCCTGGGCAGAGGTTTCCTCGCCTGTGCGTAGGCGACATTCGCGCCTACGTCAAAACCCTATTTTGCCTACGCGTAGGCGAACTGCCTTCGTTCGCGCATAGGACAAAACTTTCCTCGCCTGTGCGTAGGCGGAAAACTGAGTATCTTGCGACCTTCACAACTCCCGGAGTCCTCATCCGTTTGTGGCGTTCTTAGGCTCGTCAGAATCAGCGCATCAAGCATTTTCCAACAAGACCATAACCAAGTCGAGGCGTTCGGGAATAGACCAAATTCTGAAGGATTCCTCTAGCGCCGAAGGCGCAACGCCGAAGGCGAATTTTGCGCCTTGCGCCGAAGGGGTTATACCTTCAGAGCCCGCAGGGAGGGTGGTGTCCGTCCCCGACGTTGCACCCTGCTCCTAGATTCTACGAGTTCCCTCGAGAATCTCTGCGATCTTCCGAATTCACTCTGTTTTGATGCACCGAAGGCTATTTACACTGCTGCCGCAGTACAGTTTTCCAAAAATGTTTTAATTTCCTCAAAAATACCAAAATTGGGGTACCACACGCCTCGACTTGGTTAGGGTCTCGTTGGAAAGAGCTCGACGCGCTGATTCTAACGAGCCCAAGAACGCCACAAACGGAGGAGGACTCCGGGAGTTATGAAGTTCGCAAGATACTTAGCTTCTCGCGTACGAGTAGGCAAGGAAAGTTTGTCCTATGCGCGGTCGAAGGCAGTTCGCCTACGCGTAGGCGAAATAGGGTTGACGTCGGCGCGATGTCCGCCGCGAACGTCGCCTACTCGTAGGCGAGGAAACCTCTGCCCAGGCGGACGAGCGAAGTCCGTCTACGCGCAGGCGCTTCGGGTCGGCGGGAAATCCGCCTTCGGCCCTAGAAATGCGCCTTCGGGGTTAGAAATTTTACAGCGCCTTCCGCGCCAGCGCAGCAGCGCGGACGGGCGAGTACCCACCGGAGTAGTAAAATCCGTACGGACTGTACGGACGGAACGGATGAGTGCGCCTTCGGCTGGAAGGAGTTACGGCGACAAGAGCGCCGACGTAGAGGCGAGAAATGGACAGTCTGGACGGAGCCTGTTGACCGCGGTCAACGCCTTCGGCGCCAGCACAGCAGCGCGGACGGAATTCGCCTACGCGTAGGCGAGCGCCTACGCACAGGCAGATGAAGTTCCGCGCCGGCGGAGATTCCGCCGGGGATTCCGCCTACGCAGAAGGGAGTTCAACTTTTGTCCGATGCGCGGACGATCGCCTTCGGCGGAGGGGGATTGGCCGAAGAGTGGTACGAACGAGTGTGTAATAACCCACCAAAGGCTAAAACTGCAGTATGGTGGTAAAAAGATCGGACCCACAGGGACAGAGGCAACACACAGAGTAAAAGTGTCACGTTTAACAGACTTTTGTAGAGTTTGAATTCTAGGCGACTGTCACTCCCAGAAATACTGCAGTGCTCGACTCGGGGGCTCGACTCGGAGGAGGATCTCAACTCGGAGGATGCTCGGAGGATGCACGGTACAGCGTGGTCACTCAACACACACACACACACACACCTGAAACTGGCAAAAGCACAACTCGGAGGTCGGTCAGGACCTCCGCTTCGGATTTCAGGAGGAAAGTGTCTCAAAAGTTCACTCAAAGGTTCTGCAGGTAGTGCCTCCCACTCCGGCTTTTACTGCCCTCCCGCCAGGAACTAGCGTAGGGTACCCGGACTGGACTTCCCACTTCGGAACGAAGCCTCTTCTTACGCCGTGGACGTCACCCTCGACTATCACACCAAACGCAGGGAGTGCAGGCCCGACTGAGAACTTAACAGAGACACGATCCAGTAACACACACAACCTGAATTGCAAACCAAGGCTTACACGAAGTAATAAAACTTCACATTGGCATTCAGGGGAAACTTCCCGTAGGAGTACAATCAGGATATGTCACTCGAAGGAGTAAGGGGGAACTGTTCAAGTCTCTAACTCGCAGCCGGCTCTGAGCATCAGAAATCACCCGCAGGTGCAGATCCGCACTACTCAAGTCTCTAACCGGGTACTAGCTCTGAACATTCAGCCGAAGGCCTTCAACTACAACATACGGTAACTTCGCTATGCTGCAGCTTCTCTACGTGGTGCCAGGACCAAAATGCACAAACACGCCAAGAAAGAGAGTTCCTGATCTGCACTTCCGAAACTGGAAGAGTCGCAAGGCAAAACGCCTTGATCTACTTTATACCCTCAAAGGTCCTAACTAGCACTACGCTATCCTATCTACTACTCGCAACATCTGCGCGAAACCAAACTATTCTACTGCACTCGGCGGATCCGGTGCTGCGCCTCCTGCGCGCCGGACTGCTCCGCTCGCTGTCTCTACCTTGCCAGTCTTCCGACCGGCTGCGCAACCCCAGGCGTCGGAGCGCTGCAGTGACTTCCGACTCTAAGTGCGCCATAGTGTCGCGCGCACCTGACAAGAAGGTTTCTAATTTCCTCGCCACTCGCCGCCGACTCCGACTGTCACCCTCCGTCAATGCCGCCGCCCGAAGCTCGAACTCCCTGAGTGTGATCCTCTCTTGAGCTGGCACCTCCCAATGGGCGTATCCTTTTAGACAACGAGTCACCCGCGTCGCCAACTCTTCTCGCGCCCTGCAGCTGCCTTCCACCTCTGCTAGTTGCATTTCCGCTTCCGCACGCTGTGCCCTCAAATCCGAGCACTCGGATTGCAAGTTGCGCAACAACTCCTCATCCTCCTTGCGGGCTCTTTGACTTTCTTCTAAGGCGCGCGTCTGGCGCGCAAGCTCGGCTGCTAGGACGTGGTTTTGTCTCCGCTCTTCCTGCAATTCCGACTCGATCTTTGCCCGCATTAGCTCGGCATCCGCCTGACTTTTCGTCGCCGCATC